AACAGACGTGTTGGGTGTGTTTGGTGGGGTTGCAAATAAGATGAAAATCAGAGAAGCCCGTCAAAAAAAGCTTTAATCTGATGTTTAAACGTCATAGTTTATTCATTATAAAAATAACTTAGCCAATTTGAAGAAGCAATTACCGTTTGTTCTCACTTACGACTGAACTCTTTTCTGTCTTTTTGCGTTTCTATCTTTGCAAACTTTTATTCAGCAATTAATCTAAACATATGAAAAACACTGTCAACACCGTATGCTTGTCTAAAATCTGCACATATCTGCACTTATTCAATTGAACAAAAATATCAAATGTCAGCAACTAAAAACCTACATTAATTAGAATATTACTAGTTAACACTCAACTTTATTTATAACTGTGAATCTCTAAGGTAGATTGATTTCAAGCAAATTTCTGGTTATCAAAACAAAAAATATTCACAGTCATTGAGCGTGAAATAGAATAATAATGCTGATCATCTGACCGCGTAATTAGTTGGTTTAGTCTGATAATTAGAGGTTAGACTAATTGCTAGTTGCTTTCACTACAACGATTGTTTTACTTATCACTGCAAATTGTCTTATTCATATTGCTTCGTTGTTCAACTTTTATCGAATTGTAAATCTTTTTTCAAGTCGTTTAAAAGTATCAAATCGAAATTTACAATGAAAAAACAGCGTTGTTTATATTTTTCTAAGCTTTTCAGTTAGTCATATAACACATACAAAAAAAAGCAGGTAAAGTAAAAATTTAGAATTGATGATTTATTTTATAATCTAAAAACGAAGAAGAAAAACCAAATTTTTACAATTAAAAAAATATAAAAAATTGTTGTCACCAAAAATCTTTTGAGGAATAGGAAATTAGGGAACGGGGGGTAAGGCAAAGAACTTTAGCTTACTTTAGCAGTCAAATTTTCCAGTATGGTTTTGTTGTCTAAAAAGTTTCTAAAAAGTTTAGTGACATTTATCAAACCTAACATATTGAGCAAGTCTGACCTAAAAATATCTGTAAAGGTTGCCAGAAGCAGGAAAAGATGACAGGTATTATTCCTTGTGCATTATTTGCTTTCAGTCTTTAAAAAGACTAAGAAAAGCCAGATGAGACAAAAGACAAAAACTATATTTCAGTTCTGCAAAAAAATTTGAAAAATTTATGCATTTGTTTTTGTTCCATTACTTTTTTCCTCAAAATGTCAAGAAAAATTAAATTTTGTTTGCAAATTATTGAAGCAGAAAAGAAGAAAAAAAAAGCAAAGAAAAAACCTTGAACGGTTTACAAGTGCTGTTTTGTTGTTTCAAGTTTGATTTTCAATCAGTTTTTGTTGTTTTTTTCCGCTCTGCTATTTTTGCATATAAGCAGCAATTTTTTTTTAGTTATTTTTATAAATTTTATATTTCTTTTGTTTTCCCTCTTTTTAGCGGTTGCATAAATTAAATTTTTGCTATTCAGAAAATACAGTAAGATTCTCAAAGTTTTGGTAGAATGGTATATCTGAAAATTGCGATTTAAAAAACGAAGAAGAGGTAAGAAACTTTCACTAAATTTATATATATATATGAGTTAGGAAATTCTTCAAATTCATTTAACAATTTTCATTAGATTTTATCGTTTACTGCCATTTCTTTCTGTCGAATCAATCGTTGAAAGTGATTCTCACAGCTGCCGAAGTCTGTTTTAGGTTGTTCATTCATACAACTGCTATTCTCGTTACATAATCCTGGAACTGATACTTAGTTTTTAAGTTATTTGTTGCTGACTGGATCTAAAATTGAAAAATTTCAAATTAAAACATTCCGCCTATCTTTTTTTGTTCTTTTTTTTGTTTAAGAATTACTGAAGACTTTAAACAATATTTCATGCGTGAAATCTCATTTCTTGTCAATTTATTTTCTAAAACAACTTTAAAAATGCTAAGCCTTTAAAAATATTTTAGTCAAAAATATCTATGCTCAACGAAAACTTCAATGTGTCATATAGAAGGGTAACCAACAAACAGTTTTATGAGTGGTTATTTCTAAACAAAAAAAATTTTTTTTAAACTTGTTGCTTATCCGGTCAGCTTATTTGCCTTCTGCTTTACCGACAGATTCGTCTTTTGCAACAGCAGTATCTGTAACCCAAAATTAATCTGACTGCTTCAGGACACTTCAATTATAACTTTTTTCTTTCGTTTAAAAATAGACAGCCAAAAATAAGCAAAGGAAAAATGAAGAGTTATACTGAGGCTTACAAATAAACAAAAATTACTAAGACTTTTCGGTTTTTTTATTTTGTCTTGCTTTTCTTCGAGACAGAACTACGACCTGAATATATATATTTGATTAAAGCAACTTAATTTTTTTGAATATTACATCTTTGGTACTTAATGACCAATAATATTTTATATTAAACTGATCTTCTATCACAATTGAAGATGACTGTCGTCAATTTTTGACTGAGTTTGCTAGTTTTGGCTAGTCTGCTTAAGCAAAATTATAAGTACTGTATCATTTAGTAAACGATATCACCAAAAAAGCATCGGCTAGTCATTCCAGAAACTTCAGACGTTGTAAATGTTAAATCTACAAGTGATATAATTGTCAAAAAAAAAAAAAAAAAATGTAAATAAAAAACTATTAATTATTCTTTCTTTCTTGGTTTTTTCTTTTTCAATTTGCAGTAAATTAATAGCCTTCAATGCTTAAAACTTTATTAACCTACAAATACCGAGTCGAGACCTAAATTGAATAAGATTTCTACCAGTTTTCTTGTTAAACCTAGTTTTTTTCATTAGAAGTGGCAAATGTTGTTTCTTTGCCTTATATTAAAACATCTTTTGTTTTAGGCGTTATTAGTGTCAAAAAATTGGTACAAAAGCATATCCGATCCAAATTCTACTAAATCTTAATGCATTTCTTGCTTTAATGTAAGTTGTAGTAATTTGATCAGTTTTACCTGCTTACTCAACCCGCTTAAGTTTTAAATCCTCTGGTTACTTGGCTCTGGTCGTTCTTTAATGTGAGTTTTACCAAAAGTATATTAATAGTTTTTATATTAAAGGTCTGTTCTTGTTTCTTAAGGTCGTAGAAATCTTAGTTGCTTGTTATCTCAAGTGACTGTTAGTTCTTTTAACAAACACTGCTGTTTATAATACTGCTTCATAGCCGTTGAAACAAAACGGTCGAAGACCATAAAAAAGATTCCCCCCATTTTTTCCAAAAAAAGTGGTAAATCTTATCAATTTGATATATTATCTAATATTTTTTCTATAGTCAGCCGTCAATAAATCGGTGTTATATTTTGTGTTTGCAAACAGTCAATGCCCGTCTTGTACCTTTTTGTTCCACCAGTTAAGTTTTATCACTTTTTTTCTAAATAATCGTCTATTCAATGTTACTCCAAAAGTAAAATTGTAGCTTTGACACACTCTTACCACTTCAATAATTCTTCTTTATGCCATTGAAGTAACGTTTGGTAGTAAATACAATTTTTCTGGTAGTTTCTTCCAATTTCAAAGGTTAATTTTAAAAATTTGAGGGCATTGAGACCCATTTCAGCCTCGATACTTAAAACTGATACCGCTTGTAATATGAAGAAAAAAAAATTAGTACCGTATGGGTACTTCGTCTAAAACATATTTGAAGTTTTTGGTTTACGTTGTTTCTGAATTGGTATAACAACCACGTTGTTAGGGTACAACGAATTGCTCCTGTCTTTAGTTAAATAAACATCGTATCGCAGCAAATCGTTTTTATATTTTGCCTCCCAAACATGCAAAAGATTCTCCTTGTAGACAGAGGTTTTAATCTGTTCATGCTTTCGCAAACAGCAGGCAGCTTAAGAGCTGATAAGGGAGTGTATTATGGAACAAACCATGGCAGCAACAATTTGAGACCCTTCTACCTAAATGAAAGATTTCCAAAAAGTGGTGTTAAGCCTTATCTTGAACATCCCAACACTATTTCCGTGAATGGTATTCATGAACTTTTTGCAGCTTTTCTGTACCTTTCCTTTCATCACTGGCCCATTGAAAACCATGCTTCTCAGCAAAACTGGCATTAAAGCCTGAACTCCTTTTCTATGATCGTAAGAATGTTCTAATTCTTTCCATCGGAAGATTATCACCCGCCTTCAATCCAACCCAACAACTCAAAAAGTTTTTGGTTTTCAGCCAACAACCTAAAACACATTCATCATGAAAAACTTTCAATTTCAGAAAAAGCTTGCTCAAAATCAGATAAGAAAAGTGTAGTCGACATGATAGCACCTTGTAGTTTGAGACCAAAACAGCTACAAAGCCAAAATTAAAGAAACAATAATCAGCTAGAGAAATCAAAGATGTTAGAAAACCTCGGAACTTCGGACAATTTCTCAACTTCTTCTTCAACAACACATTATTAAGAAATGTGTCATAATTACCGTGATTGAATACACTTTAAAACATGTTTTTTCAGCATGATGCCACCCACTACAATTTAGAAGAACTGTACAGCAACCTTTTCCACACATTATTTTCTGCAATTTTTCTAAATCCATTATTCCTTACTGAGAAAACATTTAGTTGATAACCATAATTTGTTTCAAAAAGCTTCTGTAAGTGATTTAAGTGGTTTTTGAGGTATGAATGGTGAAAAAACGCCTAAATTCGACAAGTGCTCAGTTATTTCCCGTATATGCTATTCTTCATTCGTCGATATTACTTTTTGTACCAAAATGTGTCTACAATCTCCAGAACTGTAATTCCCGCTCACAGTCAGCCAGCTACGTCCCATTATCAAAAATCTACCTTTCGTTGTTTTATTAATGTGAATATGAGCTGTTGGAAGTTGCAAAAGTCTCTGACCAACGTTCTGGCAAAAAAATGCAC